GTCAGCAACCCAATGGGTGTCTAGCTTTAGATCCCTACTGCGCAGACTTTCCCCCAAGAGTAAATAGATGGTCATGCGGACGTCCGCAAGGTCAACTCGGTTGGTATTAGGTCCTGGACCCTTTTGCTACCTGGCGTGTGCCTCTTTCTTGATTTCCTGGTGTACTATGCTCAATCGCAGAGGTACAGTGCCGAAGAACTGCAAAGCTGACAAGTGCAAGATCTAAAATTCTTGATGCGTTTACTTGACCAGCCCGTGAACCAGTCTAGTCCTAAGGTATGAGTCCCACCGCCTAAAACAGCAACGACGTCAGCGACTTGTCCCCCTACCGCCCCGGTTCTTCGGCAGCACAAGCCATGGACAGATAGGCCCCCCACCTCACTAATCCTGCCCGCAGGGAGGAAACTGACTTCCATGTTGGTCAGCTCGGCCCACTGCGGGCGAACCAGCACCCTAATGGCTACGGACAATGCTGCAATCATCACTAACACCTTGGCCCCGCTGATTGAAGAAGCTTCCACCCGTTGAAGCTGAGGTGGGCAGCTCTCTCTCTGCAACCTCTTCTACCTCTTTAGTTTCCTTGGATAGATTTTGCCTATCACTTCTCCGAGTCACGCTCTTTAGAACAAAACCTTTGTTCATTCATTGTGTGAGCCTCGGCATCGGCAGCAACCTGGATCCTAGTATCTGTTCTTTCATACTTTCGGGGAACGTGCCTCGGGGTTACAATCGCGAACACTCTCTGCTTGCCCAATCGCCTCATTGCCACTGCATATGGGCACTGTGCGACGCAAAGAGAGAGAGACAGCCACTTGATAACTTTCTCTTTGCGCACGCGGTCGAAATAAACCTTTAGTTTGCCGACGATTGAGCCTGCTTTTCACGCTCTCGAAACCACTTCCTTTTTCAATCCGCTGCTAATGCTGTGAGACCGCATCGAAGTCGTCTACAAGTACCAACCGCGATCAAGCTACCCCGCCATCGTCGCGACTTTGCCAACTTGTTTCGCCTTCTTCGTCATTGCGACGCTCTTGCTGCGGGAAATGGGTGCCGAGACTACCAACGACGAGACGGAAAAGCGTGTTGGCTTTGAGAAAGAGGAGGATGTGCATTCAAGCGGAAGTGACGATGACTACCAAAAGGCTGTCGAGGTATGTGGATTTGAAAGCATCATACCAAACAGCATGCCTTGTATTAAGACTGTGATAGGTCACTTTTGATCCTGGAAACCCTTACCGGCGCAAAAGCTCTCTAGTCACGTCCGAGTCTTCCAGACCTTTGCCGCGACACCCTAGCCAGAGAACTGAGTGCATCGTACACCAGTTCCTCGAAAGCCAGAGAAAAGCTCGAAACGCGGTAGCCTCCGCCAGCAACCAGGGTTCTCGGTCGAATTCGGTATCAAGCGCCTCGAAAGCCACCACGGACAACTACCACCACGGTCATCCCACCTATGAGAACTCTCATCGACATGTCGGTGCCTGTGATGTATCTGGGGAATCGGGCATGTCGAAGACTGTTGAGCCCAAGGGACGGCTCGCTAAGCAAAGAGCGTCCATTCTGGCTGCCGATAGCCCCGAAGGCAGTGACGTTGGCCAGGCCGACGAAAAGTCCTGGCGATCCGAGATTACCAAGTCTGCTTCGCAGATCGACCTCACCCATTCTGACGACGACGACGAGCTGCATAGCCGACTACTCACCAAGAAGCAGCTGAGTGAAATGGCTTGGGGAGTCCGAGAGCTTAGCAGACGGCTCAGCAGTATGCGCATCAAATTCCGCGTAAAGACGATATTTCTCCTGACCAAGATCCACGATGCGGATCTGATTGCGCGCACACGGGAACTGACCAAATGGCTCCTGTCACATGAGCGGGATGTTGTGTATACAGTCTACGTGGAAGAAAAGTTCAAGGACAACAAAAAGTTCAATGCGACGGGAATAGTTGAAGAGCTCAAAAAAGACGTTGCCGAGTCAGGAGCATCGAAACCTGGGACAAGCGAGGAAGGCATATCGAAGCGTCTTCGGTACTGGAATGAAGACATGTGTCGGAACCGGCCGCACATGTTCGACTTTGTTATTTCATTGGGTGGCGACGGTACCGTACTCTACGCCAGCTGGCTTTTCCAGCGCATTGTCCCGCCGGTGCTGAGCTTCTCCCTCGGCAGTTTGGGTTTCCTGACGAAATTCGATTTTGAAGACTACCAAAGCATCCTCGAGAATGCCTTCAATAAAGGCGTTACAGTCAGCTTGCGGTTGCGGTTTGAGGGAACCATCATGAGGAGCCAGACGAGAAAACAGCTGGTGGACGGTGAAGAGAGCAGCTCGAGCCAAGACGACGACGGGCGAAAGCTTGACCTCGTGGAAGAGCTAGTGGGCGAGGAGAGGGAAGATGAACACACCCACAAACCAGACGGAACTTTTGAGATATTGAACGAGATTGTCGTCGATCGTGGTCCAAATCCAAGTAAGTCCTCGACCATGCTTCCCTGCTGAGCGAACTCTAGATTACTGATCATGCCACCCCAATAGCAATGTCGTACACTGAAATCTTCGGTGACGACGAACACTTCACCTCCGTCTTGGCAGACGGCATTTGCGTTTCGACCCCAACGGGCTCCACCGCCTACAACCTGGCGGCCGGCGGTTCACTCTGCCACCCGGAAAACCCCGTCATGCTCGTCACTGCCATCTGCGCACACACGCTCTCGTTCCGTCCCATCATCCTACCCGATACCATTGTTCTTCGTGTGGGCGTGCCCTACGATGCGAGGACCAACTCGTGGGCCAGCTTCGACGGTCGCGAGCGCGTTGAGCTATTTCCAGGAGACTACGTGACGATCAGCGCTAGCCGTTATCCCTTTGCCAGCGTCCAGGCTCAGGGTCGGCGCAGCGAAGATTGGGTCAACAGTATCAGCGGCAAGCTAGGGTGGAATACGCGCCAAAAGCAAAAGGAATACAAAGAATGGGAGAAGTAGATCCATTCGTCCAGGGAATCAGCGACCAACGATTAAAAGTCTAGAAAAGTTCCACGACACGCAGAGTCAAAAGGCTTGGCTTCGGATAGCAACTTTCCGAACGACAATCAGTCGGCAAGCTGTCACCACAACCAGGAACTCACATGGTCACACGCAGACGAAGAGGATGGGCACTTTGGCATATTTCAAATCTTTTGTCACCTGCCGCGTGGCCAGCCCAGGAAGAAAGCACACTCACTGCAACCACAATCCTGCCTTACGGAGGACTATAAATCCAAACGCCAAGCCCCGGAGATGGTTCACGTCCTCGAGAGAACCTCTTTTTGAGTCTTTCAGAGGTGAGAACATCCCGTCTTCGGGAGGGTGGCCACTTGGCCTCCGAGAACGAAGATCGACTAGGTTCACGAACGCAACTAAGCTTTGCCTTTAAGCTTGGCACTACGTCTTTCAGCCTAGCCTGGGTGCGATGTGAGTTGCGAAGAAGAGAGGATGAGCTCCGAGAAATCGTAGCAACACAGCCGTCTTAGTAGCAATTCGTTTGTTCAACTGGCTTCGAGGCGGGCTCCGGATGTCGTTTTCGTGCTCGCCATCTACGATTTTTCCTCCACGTTGGTCGATATTCCTCCATCCCATCAAGTCTACAACGAGAAACAGCCCAACAAGCAGACTGTGCGCAGGAAGCAGACAACGTCACCCGGACGATGGGTAGACAGACTCATCTCTGCGTGTGTCAAGGTGTTTCCTCCTCCCAAGACACGAAGGGAAAAAAAACCGCAAACCCAGGGCAATCCAGGCCAAACCCGACAAAACAAACGCGGCAAGCTAAAACACCGACCGGCGTCACCCGCCCAACCTCGCTGGCTCTACGACTCCTAGAGCAGGGCACCTTACTAAGGCCTTACCCTCACCCACGAATAGGCCCCCCGCGGGCTTTCGCAGCGCATCTATTGCCCGCTCGGTCGCACCCGCGGATACCCTTGGTCATGGGTCTGGCTTCTTCCCTTGGCTTCTTCTTCCTCCCACCTCCCGCAGAACCAGGATGGCCCCTGAGTCGTGCGCTGACAAAGGAAACGCTACAATTCTCCCATTGGGTCTTTTTCCCCTGGGCGATTTCAGCATGGATACCGCCGATGGGTTGTATGCGGCTCTAATAGTATCTACCAGGGTGAGGGGACTTGTGACAGATGCTGCGACGTTCCGCTGGTCCCATGTTCGCCGGCAACACAATGGAACGTCTCACAACCACAACAACTCGGAACTGATCGCCATACGTCCATAGGCGGTCAATAGGCGGCTTTTTTTGCCCTTTGAGCTGCAGGTTCCACATAATGCCTACTTGTTTTTTTATGCTGGAACCGCCACGCAGAGCCCACGTCTGGTCGATTTTTCGCTTGAGACGAAACAGGCATTTGTGATTTCCGGTCGTTTCTACATGCACTAAAAAAAGGAACTCTCAAGGAAAGCATAACAGGCAGAAGTCGGAGCTATCAATAATCGCTGGGCAATGTTTGGGTAGATGGCAAAGAGGTATTTTTTTGAGATAGAGAAGAGCAAGAAAGAAAGAAAAAAAAAAGGTTCAGATACACAACCACTCGATACGCCGCCGCCGCCGACCGCCACAGCCAATAAGGAGAAATAACCAGGCGATTTCCAACTATCAGTGAGAATCGTACACGCCGAATGCTAGTGATTTGTCTAGAACGAACACCCACACCACCCTTCCCAAAATGTTTGATATCATGGCGTAAAAATAAAAGACAAGGAGGTTTTGAGGCCCGTAAAAAGCGAAGGCAAGCCGAGACCCATTGTGTGTACGCGTGAGCCGTTTGTATATAGTGAGCCGATTACTCAGGTGAGTGAAGAGTAGCGGAAGGATCTCGACGAGGGATTAGGGCTGAGGCCGGGAATCGTAAATATTTGAATGAGGTAAGGAGGAGAAGAAACAAATCGTGGCAACGTTCTCAATTTTGGGGGTTTGGTTGAATAAGCTCTTTTGGGTTTCCGGGATTACACACGCGAAAGAGCAATCTACTGCTCGTCCTCCACATCGTCGGCCTGAGTCTCGACAAAGGTCATGGTGACGCCCTCACCGCTGACATTCAGGTTGACGGTGTCAATGGCGCCGCCGCTGACGCCTCGTGAGTTAAGCTCCTCAACTGCGCGCTTGACAACGTTGTTGTTGGTGGCTGGGACGACTTGGGAAACGGGGGCGGAAGGATCGCGGGCAACGAGCTTCTCAGGGGTCATCTCGACGCCTATTCCGTAGTGATTAGCCGCGTGTGCCTCGAGTGTTCCAAGACTTATCTGTTACTTACCAGCAGGAACGCCGGAGCGAACGTACATGGTGGTGACCTTGGCACGGCGGCGAGGGGGCTGCTGGGCCTCGTCGGAGCGGGCCTTGACCTTCTGCTGAGCAACAATAGCGCCGGCAGGGCGGGGTGCAGCGGGGGTAGCGGGTGCGGCCTCAGCGGCGCCTCCGGTTCCAGGACGAGCTGCTGCTTGCTGATTGTTGTCGACGATCATGCCGACACCAGAGCCCTCCTGACCAGTGCCAAGCTGGATCTTGGGTCCCTTAGTGAGGGCAACCTCGGCGTACTTCAGAGCGCGATCGAAACCGGAGAGATCGCGCTTCTCGGCGGGACGGGCTTTGGTAAGCTGTACACGGGGAGCGATCTCCTTGCCCATTCCTTGGAGGGCTGCAATGGCTTGGGCCTGGTTGGAGAGGTAATGTGTTAGCTGATATTGGTCTGATAGTACTAGCGTCCGTGTGTGTCCCGTACACACAGACATGAGCCGCCCGAAAGCTAGAAGATTCCACTGACCTCGTTGATCTGGTTGTCCGCGGACGAAGCAGTCACCGGCGTAGCACCTCCGACTGAAGCAGCGGCTTGCTGAGCAGGCTGCTGAGGGGCGGCCGGGGTAGCAGGTGCCGCGGGAGCGGCAGGGGCGGCGGCCGGAGCATTCGCAGCACCTTGAGCAGCATTAACTGCGGCGCCCTCCAGTACATTCATCAACTGGGAGACGTCGTTTCTACCGCCAAATGAAATTTCACCATCACCCACCACCAAGGCAGGTGAATAAGCGCCCAAGTTGATGTTCAAGGGCAGAGCGTTGAGCTGAGCGGCCAGGCCGGCAACGGCGAAGATGTAGCGGTTGACCATCTTGTCGATCTGTTCGGGTAGTCGGTATGTCTTGGTGTGATTCGGGTAGAACGGCTCTTGGAAGAGGCGAAGGGTGGTCTGCGAGACGGTGACACTAAGTAATAGGCGTAGAGTTGTATAATAAGGACACGACCAGCGGAAGAATTGAAGATAGCTTTTAAAAATCTTGAAGAAGAGAGAGAAGAAAACCGAGAAGAGACAGGATACCAGTCGAGCACAGCTAAAGAAGAAATAGAAGAAAAGATCTGAAAAAAAGCACGAGAATTTAGCTTTCATATATTTCCCCACGAGCCAAGATGGATGAGTTGAGACTGGAGACTAGCCACATGCTTGAGACACAGCCGCCAAGATGCCAAGAGATAGAGTCCCGTCGAAAGCCTCAAGTCGGTCGTGGGCCCTCAGACATTAGCAGAGGGGCTACCGTCTGGGGTAGGCTCTTGATCGAGTCGGTACGGAGGCGCAGGCAGGGGGTGCTCGTCGTGGTCGAGGTGGGATTGCCCAGCTGGAAAGCTCCGAATAACGCCAAGGGATGGCCGAAGGACGAGTAGGCTAGCGATGGTACATTGTAGACAATCCGCCCAGCGGGACTGGATATTGTTCAGCGTGAGGTCCAAGCAGTCAGCGACGCAGTCGAGGCATGAAACGCAGGTGACACCAGAGACAGGCAGCGAGCCAATTGGGCAGGTCGGTTTGGGATATCCATCTGGGAGGCCAGCCGCGGTCGAGTGTGCAAGAGGAGGGCGATTCGAGACCAAGCTTGACGGAGAGACCTGACTAGGAGGTCTTGGCATCGTCGCCGTGCCTCTATGCGATGGCCGAGAGATGTCAGGTAGGATGCCAATTTTGGCCCAGAGATCCACGCTCTGATGTTGCCAGGGCATGGGAGGGCATGGGTGACCCCCCGGGACGCGTAGACAGATCCGACTCGACTCTCTGGCAGATGGTCAAGGGACGCAGTATTTGCAGAGTGGGTCAGTCGCTCATGAGACTTTGCCAAGCACTCCTGCGATGGTAGCTGGGACGTGCACCGCAACGATACTGCCCATTTCTCTGCGTCTCTCCGTTGATTTCTGCTTGGGTGGATGGGACGAAGGTGGCGGGTGAGCAGCAGCGTGGACGATACTCGGTGTTGGTGGATTTCGAAAGGAACAATTCAGAGGGCTCAGAATCCCGCGTAGCATCTAAGCATACCTTCATGGTTGTGCCAAGGGGCGGATTATTCTCTTGGCACTTGGCGGGTCGCCGTATGGCCGGTGTCGTCTTCCGTCTGGTACCATCTTTACTACCTGCTGCCCCCCTTCAGCAGGGCAGACTATCGAGCATCGATGCAACGGCCAAGAAGCACAAGAGATCTCCCCGGTATTGGCGTCGTCGGGTGCCGCGGCGGATGGAGTCTCCAAGCCCGCCAAGTAGCCAAGGGCAATCAGCCACGTCCCGGCCGTGTAACCTCTTGGTCCGCGGCACGCCGCACAGGTGAGAGACGCATACTCAGGACGCAGAGCCGCTAAAGCTAAAGACTGAGGAAAGAGTGAATCGGGTTGTTTTCTCTAGCGAGTCGTGCACAGCGCTGTTCGGCCCGCCTTCTCTACCCAATTGCCGGGATGGTGTCCCTGGCGAATGTTTCCTCAACTCCAGGTTGCGGATGATGGAAAGACGTCTAGTGGTGGGCAGAGGGGCAAACGCATGACAGTCGTGCCCCGATGGTTTGCCAATTGTCAAGTGTCAGGAGGAGCCCCAAGAACCCCGTGGTACGGTACAAAGCGAAAAAAAGGGTCCAATTGCATTCCGTGACAGAGTCTTGGGCCGGGTGGATGGATGGAGACTGGGATGCAATGCAGAGAGGACAGACGAGTTCGACCGAGCATGGGGAGTCTGAGGTCGATTGACTGTGAGTGCAGTGCGGTACCGTTGGAGTGTCCAGTGTCGAGTGCTGGATTTTCTGGTCTGGTGCGACACTCTCCCATACTTCTGCCCGTGTCTGAGACTTCGGAGTTGCGTGATAGTCGCCGTCGTAAGGATTCCGCTGATGGTGGTCGTCTGTACATTGTTGTTTGCTCGGGCTCCGTTTTGTAGCCAAAATTAGCATTGGAAGCCGGGGACATCAGACCAAGCCCCTATTTTCCCTAACCTTGAACGGGAAAGAGTCTGTTTTGCGGTTCTTGTGTAATGTGTACTCCGTATGGGCGGTTTGCGGCTTGCCCCATGACACACCATGTTCGCGAGTGTTCAATGCAGGCCGGTGGGTTGAAGCCGACAGGATATGCCCAGTTCGAAGCGAACATGCACGTGCCTGACCCGCCTGGTTTCCGGCGAGAAGAAGGCAAACGAACCGGGGGAGAGCCTGAAGGCATTCAGATTCTGCAAAGCCAATGAGCCGGAAGTCGAATCGTTGTCGTTGCCCGTAATCAGAATTGCTGTCTGTGTGGTGCCTCATTGTGTGTATGGTATGACCGTTGCAAAGACTTTGTTGGGTGTGGAAGGAAAGAGTTCGCGCTTGCCTCAAGGACAGGGCGAGGTTTCCAGGCTGCAAATAGAGACTCTGACAGGTTTTCTTCCTGCCTCGCCAAACGCCTAAGCTCTGCTGGCCGGCTCCTGCCTGTCACGTCTACCTGCATCGCTCACCTCAGGTTTCTCACCAAGCGCATCCCGTGCGTGCCCTTTTTGCTCTGTACCTTACATCAAATCTGCATCCAACCTACGGACGTACCTCACAGAAGCTAAGGTATGGAAGGTTCTAACATTCGGCCGGATTTCTCATCAGCCTGGAAAATTTGTGACATCTATTCGTTCTTGATTCGATGCAGCTAATCTTTGACTTGGCATTAGGTTAACCAGCCGAAAGGCTACTACTGTGCGGCAGCTGTCGCCATCTTAGTGCGCCGTCTGTGATCAACTGTCATCTCCTTTCCGCCATGTGGTCCGGCTTCGAGTGTGGAGGGAAGGAAGAATAAAGCTTCGTCCGGAAGAGACGGCGCGGAATGGCTGGTCTTGGGAGTCTAAAGTCTTGGAAACCAGCCTGTCAACTACTTGTGGCACTTCTTGGGCAGCGCGAGTCCTTCCGCATAAGCAACTTTCCAGCGGCCCCATTCCCAATGTTGCAGCTTCATTTTCTGGGGAGCAAGTCTGTCTTCGCCATTGGGTCCGCAAGCCGATGCTCAAAAGACAAGAGTTTACCAAGACCATCCATCGTCGCTCTTGGCTGCGTCCAAGTGTTGTCATTTCGTCCACCCTCTACGAACAGACTGACTCTAAATCTCTTGAGTCTGGGGGCCAAAACTCCGGGCAGCCTGGCCTAGATGGCGATGGCCGCGCATTCTGCACCGGAATTGTTTGTTTCGAGAATCGAGACCTGGTCAACACAAGCTTACTTGACTATTCCATCTTGGCTCTCGCCCAGAGTCGTAGTTTACCCCCTGAAGGCGTCCATGCACCCTACGATCCCATCCACCTGCAACGTTGGTCGTCGACAAATGTTGCCTCTTCCAAGTGCCGACAGAGGAAGAGGAGCCATGATGGCATGGGTTTGTCTCTCCAGCGAGAACGAACTCCCCCGTTCTACATGGACCCCAGGCCCGTTGGTCAGGAATCACAACGGCGGATGTTCCCAAGGGTTACACTCCTCGTCTTTGCCGATATTCGTCGCCCGCCCCGGTTGCGCAAGGCCCTACACACCAAAACACGCTTACCTCTTCAGACGGATGCACCGTCACTACCTCAAGCTTTCTATCATCCAAGCCCCTTGGACGCAAATCTCGGTGCTCACAGTCGGCCAAGCCGGTCAAACGGCACTAGAATGCAACTCGAGCGATTGTGACAGCACCAGCAGCCGCGGTGATCTCCTATGAGAGACCAGCAACAATTCCAGGCCGCGCACATTTGTCTCATTCGTCGCATATCCTCCAGACAATCCGAAAATAGCTCTCGCGGATGATCTGAGACGTTCGCGAACCTCGACCGCTATCTGATTGAACTCTTAGACGAACTGGTTTCTATCGGTGCTCCATTCATGCGTTCGGACTACCTAGGCCAGCCAGCAACTCGGAACCTATTGCGAACGTTGTGGCGGGCTTCTAAAAAGGGACTCTTCTAAAGGGCCTTCTAAGCAGCATCAAATGTCATTGTCTCAGGAACTCGCCTGTACGATGTACGGGGTAATTACCGCAAGGTTTTTCCAAGATGGACATATTATCCGCCACCCTCTGGATCTCTTTTTTGTTTGGTGGCTGGGCTGAGCGGATGGTCGAACCCAAGCTGTGCTGTGGGCTCCGTCCCCAAACGCAACCAAAACAGCGAAACATCGCGGGATATCTCCCTGGCACTTGCTTGTCGCTTATCGTACACGCCAAGGCCATCCCTCAGACGCGCCAGTTGGTCTAGCCGGTCTGGAAGACGCGGGAGGAAGGGGCGGACACCTTTTGATTGTCCTGGAGCCCTGGACCAATTCACCAATACAATGTCTTGACTCGTCTCCGCGTTTCCACCATCCACGAGCTGTCTCTGGTAGCGCTGCCGCAGGTATCCTATATCGTGGACGGAATATTACTACAGCCGGTCCAGACGCTGCTTCGGGGGGGGGGGGGGGGCTCTTGGCACCGCAAATTTCGCCTCAAACGTCTCTCGACGTCCGGACTAGTGTCCGTCCCCTTCCTCAACCAAGTTCTTACCTACACTCACCATGCAGTCACCGAGACTTCACTTCAAGATAATCAGGGGAAATTTCCCTCATGCATGCATTGCATTTACTGCATCTCAATTACTCGACAAGTCTCGACAAGTTGCTGAAATCATCGGATCGCCTTGCCAAGAGGTCGATGGAAAAGGATGATTCGCCGATCCCAACTTGTGACTGGCCAGCGCCAAACTGTCGTGCGGCGTGCCGCGCTGATGGTGCAGTAGCCGCGTCTTACAGTATGTCGCCTACGGAGTATCCGTACTGCGTACAGAATCCTGCTGCTGACAGGCATCAGTGCGAGCCAAACGTCTACTCATCACCGACGTAGTCGTTAGGGCATCTTCGTGCCTCTCTCTCTTCCTACCTTACCTTGCCCATCCATAGCTATAGCACCACCGGTCCATTTATCGTCTGAATCTTGTTCGACACCTCTTTGCCACTTTCGTTTTCTCGATCATGTCGGCGAAAAGCTTCGCTGAGTCGAACACGTTCTATCGGCCCGTTCACTCACGGCAGGCGGAATCTTGGAGGAGGCCTGTCGTCCTCGCAGCCATTCTATTTGTGCTCTGGTTGTGGAAACTCAGTGAATGGTTCCATGGCCGGA